TTGTCACGGATGGGTGCGACTGTAACGTGCAGAGCAATTCACGAGACACATATGAAACACGTCGAGAACCATTCACAATTAATGCTTCTTTTGCTGCTGCTGCTGCTTGTCTTCCTCGTCATCACTGTTGCAAATGCTCTTCCTATTGCAACTGACGCCACCGCTCTCACCGTTACAGCTGGCGCGTTCGCTCCCGCCACTTCTCAATTCCGCTGTTATCATCCTCCATCTCCCCCTGCTGTCCACAGAGCAAGTGCTTCAATCTGACATGTAACTGGTGCTTCATCTTTGCCTCCTCCTGCAGAGAGAAAGACAGATCGATCGGGACATACATATTTCTTATACATATATACAGATATACACACAGTTAAACTTAAGTAAATCTGTGAATAGAGAGATAGAGGTGAACCAGAGAGAGCGACACATATAGAGTGATATAACGACAACCATTCGCCATGAAACCAACTGCAGCGCCATGGAGCGGGTGGGAGTAGAGGAGTCGGGGAATGATACTGATGATAACGAGGAAGAAACGTAACGCATAATAATAACAATAATGAAGAAGACGTGGAGTGTAATGGGATGATGATGAAGATGACGAAGAAGATCGAAGCTAGCGGAGAGGACGATGATTGTTGTGATGATCCACTGGTTTGAGGTGGGATGCACTGTGACGCCGTAGCCACGAAACCGATTACGCCTTGAAGATCCGAGCGCCCGCCCCAAGTAAAAGCCGCCTCCCCCCCCTCAGATAGCCAGATAGGGAGGTATCAAGCTAAGGCCCCCCGCGTGCCATGTACAACCCTGGTATCCGACGTCTCGAACAAACATGCAACATGATGAACAATCACGACCTGACCCCTCGACCCCATCTCTCTGCGGCATTTCTCGGGCCAGATCGGTCGGTAATGGTCCCGGGGCCCAGAGTTATACGAAAACGCAGGTTTAAGTTGCGACGCCTGGATCTCAGGGAGACGGTGGCGAGAGAGAGAGAGAGAGAGAGAGAAAGAGGAACGCCAGGCCAGCAGCGGCAGAGGTAGCTGGACCGCCGCGCATCGGCAGCCCAGGCTGCCGATCGCGCGCGCAGGCACTCCACTCGCGCCTTCGTTGTGCCGAGGGCCGGGCACCCGGCGCGCTCACGGATCATCGTCTGGCCGATCCCTGTCCCCGCTGGCGTGGCCGGGGTGGTGGGACGGTGGGGCTGAAATGCCATGGCGCGGTGGGGATGGGGATCGATTGGACGATACCGGGACACGCTGGCTCAAGTCGCACTTGAGCCGAGCATCGTTGCCACTGCAGCGCGTGGTTGGCACATGATTTGCACGAGTTGCTGCAGGAATGCAGATATGCACGAATGCATCATTGAACGAATGCGTTGCGAACCGTAGCCGCCGAGGCTCGAATCTAGAAGTCGCAAGACACGTCCTAGAGCCAGGCGGAACAATTGCGCAGTCACAGCTTGAGAGCTCTGTGGTATTCATCGTGGTGCGGCCTCGGCGGGCATGCGCGTGCGGCAACAAGTCGCCGCAAGGCGCGGCACTCCGCTGGGCCCAGCGCCGGAAGCCTGCCGCCGGGCCGCCCTGGCAGCTCGAGGTGCCTGTTTTGGCGGCGCGCAGAGGGGGGTAGGGGAAGGAGGGAAGGCTTCTTAGAAGGAGGCTGCTTCTTCGAAGGCGCGGGCCTTCCATCTTCAGACAAGGCCCGCGCCTACTAGGAAGCAGGGGCGCTTCTAAGAGGCCTTCCCCCCTCCCCCTCCCCCCTCTGCGCGTGGCCGACCCTTTCCGCCTCCGTGCGCCCTTGCGAGGGCCCCGTAGGCCGAAGGAGACCAGAAGCCGTCCGCCGTGTCTCCAAGGGCAACTGTGCTCGCGCCTCGCCTCTTCGCGCGAAGCGCGCACCACTCCGCGCTCTCTTGCCGCCCCTTCCGGGGAGACGAGGAAGACGATGAGGACGAAGATGAGGCATCACGAGCCCAGACCCCCGACGTCATGAGCTCCTCCTGGCATGGGCCCCTGGAGGTCTCGACCCACTCCCTGGGACCGGTCTTCCATCCCGAGTCGCTTGTTCACGGTCCTGGGGCCCAGCGAGGCCCCTGGGAGGCCGAAAACGGCCAAACCCCGTCGTGATTTTTTCGTGATTTTTTCGTGCCCCGAGTGGGTCTGGGCTCACAGCCCCCGTCGTGATTTTTTCGTGCCCCGAGGGCGTCTGGGCTCACAGCTGCGCCCCAGCAGCGCTCCGCGAGCCGAGGGCCGCAGCGCAGCCCGTGCCGCCCCGCTGCGAAAGGGCCGGCCGGCGCAGCGCCGCCGCGCCCAGGCGGGGTGCCCGCAGGGGGGGGCGCCTGCGCCTTCGGAGGTGTTGCCGGGCGTTCGGCTCGGCCGGCAACACCTCCGAGGCCCGGCACGATGCTGCGCGAGGCCAGGAGGGCGAGGACGAGGAGGGCGAGGAGGACGGCAAAACGAAACTCTGCGCTCGGGTGTGCTCTACGGATACGACTCTTGCAACAAGGCGCCGCGTAGCAGGCAGCACGAGAGCGAACACGCCGTCGTTCCGGCGCTGGGCGGTGGCGGCTGCTAAGACGTGCAGGGCGACGGCGGCAATCTCGGCCGGCAACTCCTCCAAGGCGCCAGGCCGGCAGCCCAAGGCCTGCACGCCGGCGACGTCCTCGATCGACGATGCAGGAGGAGGAGGAGGAGGAGGAGGAGGAGGAGGAGGAGGAGGAGGAGGAGGAGGAGGAGGAGGAGGAGGAGGAGGAGGAGGAGGAGGAGGAGGAGGAGGAGGAGGAGGTTCCTCTCGCGTGCGAGCCGCTCGGGGCGAAGATGTGGCCGGGCACGGTGTCGTCGTCTGGCGGGCGTCCCAGCACTGGGTTCAGGTGCTGGGGCTGGCCCTCGTCCCGGGTTGCCTTCCGAACATCGTCCAGGCGTGGCGAGGAGGGCCCCCCCGAAGGCCCATTTTTTTTTTTTTTTTTTTTTTTTTTTTTTTTTTTTTGTTTTTTTTTTTTTTTTTTTTTTAATATATATATATATATATATATATATATATATATTATATTGCCATCAGCGGCGATCTGCAACCCATGTACTCCTCACACGGGTGGGCGATGCCCGCGAGGGGAAAGTCAATAATCAGTCTGATGAACCTCCGTCCTCGACCGCGCCAGGGACGAGGGGTCCCTTGTCCGCTTCCCTGCGGAGGGCGTCCGCCGCCCTCCTCAAAGAGGACGTGCAGTCAGAGGCGGTCGGCAGGGCCGGGGGGCCGACCTGTCCCGGCAAGAAGAGTTCAGCATCCTCCCCCTCCTCGTCAAGACAGCGGATCCCTAGGGGCAGCTGGCTCCCAAGCTCTGACTTGGTCCTGGGCCCTGCGCACCCTGGGTCCGTCAGACGCGGTGCTTCCCCGACCGCCCACGCCACCCGCCTCCCCACCGGCCCCAGACGACAGAACAGGCGCAAGAGACTGCGAACGGACAGCACTGGACTTTCCGTAAAGCACGCGCAAACTGGAGCAGTCGACGGTGACCCAAGCCTTCTTCGAAGACGGGTGGGATCCTCTGGCCAGCCTGCTCCACGGGTTGTTATGGGAGGTGGCCTTTTCGGGCCGATACGGTTTCTTCAAGTTGGCAGATACACACAAAACTGTCGTGCGAACACTTAAAACTTGATGCACTTATGAAACAACTCTGGGAGAGCATAAGGCTGGACGCGCAAATAACCGGAACATCTGCCAGCAGTGGGCTCCTGGCTAGGTTTCCCCATCCTCTCTCTCAGACACGTGGAACACAGCAAAAATATCCAACCCAACCCCAACGAGGAGTAGGAGTGGGCGGCTTGGCAAGACGAGGAGGGTCGGGCTCCCGCTCGACGGACGGTCCGAGCTTGAGACGCGGCCGCAGGGGCATTAGCTGGGAACGCAAGGACTCCCACCGCTTCAGCAACCCTGAGCTGGTCACAGAGAGCCTCCTGTGCACAAGGATCGGGGCAGGGTGGATCGCAGCCCCCTGTTTAGCCGAAGCGTAAACAGAACGATTGCCTTCGCAAAAGTGGGCAGCCCAATTATCTTCGCACTCCTCCGACTTCTGGTGAATATTCACTTTCGTGACCTTGCACCTAGGTCCAAACTCTCAGCAATGTTGAGCAACGCCAGAATATGAACGCTTGTGAGAGCACTGCTGGGCGGAGGGCATGGAGTGGAAGTCAACGCGGTTCTGGCAGTCCACAAAAAACAACAAGATCTCCAAAGGTCTCGTCAAACATTGAACTCGCCACGGAGTGAGCACAGAACTCGGCAGCCTGGGGGGTCTGAGGAGCGGGGGCCCACACAGGCCTTCGAACCCGAACGATCTCGAGAGCTGTTCCACGGTTCCAGACAGGGAAGGCCAGCCAGCACAATCGAGCTCTCCGCTGGTGCTGCGAGAACGCGACCCGTCGCCGAAGATGTCCACCACCACCGCGAGTTCCAGGCCCCCAGATTCATCATCAGATACCCCCACTCCATTTGCACACCTCCGAACGTCCGGGGCCCAGGGGCTGCGTCACCAGGATGAGGGAAGACACCACAACGGGCCAGCGCATCATTCCAGAACAGGGGAGGAGAAGGCCGAGGGAAGGAGGGAGGAGGGGGAGGAGGTGGGATGGGGTAGGGGGTAGGAGTGGGAGACGGGCGAACCAAAAAATCCAAAGATCCAACCTCTCCTACTGGCTGGAAAAGCCTGGGCGACAACAGTCGGTGTCGGGCCGATCGGGCGAGGGGGCGGCATTCAACAGAGACCGAGCAGGCGAGGCGACCAGCAGGCGGAAGAGGAGAAGGAGGAAGAGGGAGGAGGAGGAGAAAAGAGGGAGGAGGAAGAGAAAAGGAGGAGAAGGAGGAAGAGGGAGGAGGAGGAGGAGGAGGAGGAGGAAAGAGGAGGAGGAGGAGGAGGAGGAGAAAAGAGGAGGAAAAGAATGAGGGGGAGCCTTCCCCCTCTTCTCCCCTCCTCCCCCTTCCACTCCTCCTGCCTTGGCGACGACGACGACCGCGGCCTGGGCCCCGAGGGCGGCGTCCGCGTCCGAGTCGGAGTCCTCCTCCCCGGAAGCGCCGGCCACGTTGAAGCCTGGAGAGGCCACGCCACGAGGCTACGTCGTGGCCGGGATGGTTTCGCGACGAGCAGCTTCACGACAAGGAAAAGACATATTCACGACAAGCAAACCCACATTCGCCACCCACTTTCGCCGCCCACTTTCGCCGCACACTTTCGCCGCCCACTTTCGCCGCCCACTTTCGTGTTTCAGTTTTCCTAGCCGTGAGAACACCCGAGCTTTGGCTACGTCGTCGCCGTCGCCCTCTTCCTACCATCCTCCTCCTCTTTCTTCTCCCCGTCCTGGTGGTCGCCCGCATCGTCGTTGTTCTTCATCTTCTCCTCCTCCTCCTCCTCGCCAGAACTCTAAACAGCAGGCCGTGCAAGCACAGACTCTGCCTCAGATGATGGCCGTGAAGACGAACCAACACTTGCAGACGCCCTCCTCCTCCTCAGCTCCCTTCTACTCCCCCCTCCTTCCTCCCCGTCCTCGTTGTCGCCCTCCTCCCGCCCTAGGGCGATACCTAGAAAGAGCCCCCGTCGCGATCCATTGTATGATTGTTCCGAGCGCCGTGTGTGCTTGGTAGGCGATTTTAAAGACAAGTGATGGTCACGCTCGTTGTCAAAGGATTGCATCCGTGTGCTGCACGACAAGAGTTGACTTGCCTGCCCGTCACAAATGTCGCACATTCGGCCCTCAATCCTTGCCCGTGCGTGCACATTCTGCGAAACGGGAGACAAGGCAGAGGTAGACATGTAATGTGACATGCAGGCGTATGAGGGACAGGAGCAATTTGAGGTGAAGGAGTATGGGTGCTGGGCGAGGCACCCAATCGCTTCGTATGTCCCAAAAATACTACAGCAACGGCTGCAAGCGCGAGCCGCTTAATGTTGTGAGGAGGGACAACGCCCACGAGACACGCGCGCCATGTCTTTACATGCTCACTCTTACAAGCGGTGATGCGAACGCGTGCGATCAGAACTGCTCGCAGAGACTCCTAATCTTATGCAGTATCATCTTTGCAAGCCTTGTCCAGCTTTGAGGCGATGAGACACCGCGCCCTCCCGCCTCTGGTCGCCTGCTCTGCGCCTTCTTGCAGAGACTCTTAATCTTATGCAATATCATCTTTGCAAGCCTTGTCCAGCTTTGAGGCGATGAGACACCGTGCCCTCCCGCCTCTGGTCGCCTCCTCTGCGCCTTCATGCCTCTCCGACGGTAGCCCAGCTGAACGAACAAAAACGCGATACATGAAATCAAAACGGAGGTCGGGCCTCCATACCGGCGATCGCCCAATATTGGGCAGCCCAAGAACTTCATGTGCTTGCGTAGCTGGTGCGTGCGGCCAGTGAGCGGCCAAAGGTCAACGGTGCTGACCCAGCCTGACGGTCGCACAGAGAAGGGTGTCAGAGGCAAGCGCGGAACCGCTCTCAAACGGTTTATGGGATGCGAAACACGAGCGATGCAGCGAGGCTGGAAACCAGGGGAGGGCTCGGGGCGTGGGTTCTTGGAGCAGCCAAAGGGGCCTCACGAGTCGCTGTTGCAGCGCACTGTTACACACGGTGCGGAGCTTTTGTTCAGCGTGTCGAGGCAGCGACCCCTGCGACACGCCATGCCCTACGAACCGATATAATCTCGGCGCGTTGACGGTCGGGGACCGGGACATGGTCAGCGTGTCGCGCTGGCGGCGCGACACGCATCCATCCTCGACGCCGGCGCTGCTCGCAGGGGCGATGGCGGGGCACGCGTTCTCCTTCGTACAGAAAGAAGAGCATGCTGATTCTTCCCACAGAGAAGACCGAACCATCAAGCATGGGGAAGTCGTACACTGTGACGGGGCGGGAGATGCGGGGGGAGAGGCGCGCCACGCAAGTAAACTTGCCATAATCTACCTGACTTTACGGTCGTCCGGGTGCCTCCCAAATGAATGGGGTCGGAAGATCGCGCCGCATCGCCAATGCATCACCGATACGTCGGTGACGCATCGGCGACTTTGGCGACGGCCGAGGGGCAAGCCCGAGGCGCGCAGTCCGCCTTTGTCACTGGCGGGGCGCGCGAGGGTTTGAGGGGGGGTTCCGGCCTCTGGGGGCCCACGCCGCGAAGAGAGCACAGGAGTCGGGAGTCGGGGGGGGGAGGGGATGCCTCCTCCTCCTCCTCCTCCTCCTCCTCCTCCTCCTCCTCTCGGGTCCTCATGGAATCTGCGCCAGGGCGACAAGACAGGACATGATTCCACCGGAGCCTCTTGTACGCTCAGGCGGTCTCTCTGGCGCCTGGCCCCTTGACGCAAGACGCGGGCAAGCGGCAGCGGAGCAGGAGGAGGAACCAGATGCGGGAGGATGAGGGATGCATCAGGATCCCGCAGGATCCCCCTGCATATTCCTAAAGCGTGCGATTTTGAATGGTTTTCTGAGCGTTTTTTGAGGCTTTTGATTTTGAGGCACGTTTCACTTTTTGGAGCGATTCCATGGTTTTCAGGATCCAAACAGCCTAGCGGGCTCGGCCTATTATGGTGCATCAGGGCGACAAGACGGGACATGATTCCACTGGAGCCTCTTGTACGCTCAGGCGGTCCCTCTGGCGCCTGGCCCCTTGACGCAAGACGCGGGCAAGCGACAGCGGAGCAGGAGGAGGAACCAGATTCGGGGATGGACAGACCCCCCTTTAGGAAAACGTGGTTTAGTGAGAACGACCTGAGGCCCAAACCTGGTGGGCGCAAGCCTGGAAAATAACGGCCACGGCGCCCTCTCGAGAACCGAAAACGGACAATTCACTGATCGACGTGTCACTGTTGGGGGTTCTGTCCACCCCCGACAGATGCGGGAGGATGAGGGGAAGACGCCTTCACCAGCGGCAGGAGATGGGTGGGAGGACGGGAGGCCAGCAAGGGCGAATCATCGTCAAGTCTTATACTTTTCATCCTCCTCTTCCCCCACCTCCGACCTCCGCCATACTTCCCCATCCTCTTCTTCTTCTTCTTCCTCCCCTTTTTCTTTTCATTCTTTTGGGCCGCCCGCAAGGCGGTCCAGAACTGCTCCAACGGGTGGCCCTGGGGCCCAACCTTGGGAGCACGACGACCATCCAACACACCAGCGCCCATCCAAGCCAGACCCATTCTGGGCCCGGGAGCGGTGTGCCTACGGTCGGCACACACGGCCACAAATCTTGCTATGAGAAGTCCAGGGGCACACTCTTCGTCGACTCGGTGCCTCGCAGGGTGCCCAAGGGCTCTGCGACCCCACCGGGAGGTGAGCAAGAAACCAATCGCGGGGCACCCGTCGACAAGCCGACTTCTTACATAGAGTCATGCCCTCCTGGCCGAGTCCGGAGGGCGTATCAGGCGGCGCGCCCGGGGGGGAAGTGAGACGGGCGGGCCTTCTCAGAAGGCTCGGAAGTTCCCTGGCCTTCTGAGAAGTTCTCGAAACCTTCCTCGAAGACACGGGACACTTCTCAGAAATCCGGAAGGCTTCTGAGAAGCCCCGCCGCCTTCCAAGAGGGTCTTCTCCTTCTCACCGCTTCCCCCCCCTCGCTCGCCGCCGACGTATGCACACCGAGCCCGGGCCCAGGACTGGGCCTTGCCAGGGCAGGCATGCCGGTGGTGTGGTCGGCGTGCGCCCAGCTGGGAGGGTAAGGCGGGAGATGGCGGGGCGACCGTTGGCGGGTCGCGGCCCCCAGACCAAACGTTTCTCTTGTCGTTGTTGTTGTTGCTGCTTGTTTTTTCTGTGTGTGTGTGTGTGTTTGCTTGTTATTTTTGTTGCTTTTATGCGTTTGTTGCTGTGGTTGTGGTCGTGGTTGGGGTTGTGGTTGTTGCTGCTGCTGCCGCTGCTGCTGCTGCTGCTGTTGTTGTTGTTGTTGTTGTTGTTGTACTCCTAATACTGAAGAAGAATTATTGTTGATCCCCCCTCTGGGGCACATGGTATTTTTCAATTAAAGTGCCCTTCCCGGGGCTCGCACCCTGTTTCCTATCAGGGGAGATCTTGAATCTCAAAATCGTGTTGTTGGCCCCCGCTTTACAACAACAACGGCTACCGCCCGATACTTCCTCAAACTTTATTCCAGAATCGCGCTCTCGCGCGGACCTTCCTCACACTTTCTGCAGAAATCGCGCTCTCGCGTGGGACTTCATCACAATTTGTTCAGGCGTCGCGCCCCCCCACCCTTAGGAATCACGCTGTCGCTCGCGCCGTTCTTATGATTTCTTTGGGAACCGCGCTATCGCTCAAGACCTCCTCACGATTCATGCTCGCGCTTCGGCAGCCCGCCTGCTCGACCTGGCCGCCTGGGCCCGCCTTCCCGACCAGCCCTTTAGGGTCTACCTGCCCGATCTGCCCGTCTGGCTCTGCCACGTGTTTTTTGCTCCTAGCCCCCCTCCTGCTACTCTCTCTCGTGCTCCATCCTCCTCTCTCCCTCTTCCATCCGTGTTCTCTTCCCCTGTTTTAGGGGCTGCGCCAACTACACGCGGCAGGTACGGAAGATAGACTCCCAAGGGGGGTACGGTCGAAGACGAATAGGGCGGGTATTGAGGGTTTGGGATACACGTGTTGAACGGCATGCGAGCAGATCAGAGCGAACAGTGTTAACATGATTGTTGTCGTTGTTGCTGTTGCTGTTGTTGCTGTTGTTGCTGTCGCTGCTGCTGTTGCTGCCGTTGCTGCTGCTGCTGTAGTTGTAGTTGTAGTTGTAGTTGTAGTTGTAGTTGTAGTTGTAGTTGTTGTAATTGTTGTTGTTGATGTTGTTGTTGTAGTTGTAGTTGTAGTTGTAGTTGTAGTTGTAGTTGTAGTTGTAGTTGTAGTTGTAGTTGTAGTTGTTGTTGTTGTTGTTGTTGTTGTTGTTGTTGTTGACTACTCACTGCGAACTATGAATTATTGTTGATCTCGGGAAACTTCCGCGCGCTCTCGCCTCGACGCAGGCTACATTTTCAGTGAAAACGAGGCTCCCGCTCGAGCGTTGGCTTGAGCCTACATGTGGGCCCTTGGAGGCCCAGCTACGACAACAACGGCTCCCGCTCGATACTTCCTGACAAGTTACCCCGAGACGCCCTGGCCAGAGAGGCTCCCGAACTCAGGAACGGCACTCTCGCTCGAGACTTCCTCGCAATTTATTTAAGTTGGCGGAGGCCCAGCCACGACGACAAGGGCTCCTGCTTGATACTTTCTCACGATTTACTCCGAGAGCCCTGGCCAAGGCCCCCGAACTCAAGGACGGCGCTCTCGCTCGAGACTGTCCTGTAATTCAGGCAAGTTGGTGGAGGCCCGGACACGGCGACAAGGGATCCCTTTCGACATTTCTCCATTAGCATTCCGAGAACCCCTGGCCAGAGAGGCCCCCGAACTCAGGAACGGCGGTCTCGCTCGAGGCTTCTTCGCACTTCAGTCAGCTGCCGACAAGGGGGTGCAATCGAAGACGAAGTGGGCGGGTATCGAGGGTTGGGGTATACGGAATGCAGAACACGCGTGCCAGTGAGAGCGAGCAATATTAAACTGATTGTTGTTGTTGTTGCTGCTGTTGCTGTTGCTGTTGCTGTTGCTGTTGCTGTTGCTGTTGTTGTTGTTGTTGTTGTTGTTGTTGTTGTTGTTGTTGTTGTTGTTGTTGTTGAACTCTCATTTCTGAAGATTAATTATCGTTGATCCCGTCCTCCAGTAACCATTGAATTTTTCCTATTGAAGTGCCCCTCCCGGGGCTCGCACCCTAAAACAAAATAACAAAAAGAAACTTGAGCCTCAAACTGGGCGGCGGGCCCCGGAGATACAACAACAACGGCTCCCGCCTAATACTTCCTCACAATCTATTCCCAGGTCGCGTTCTCGCGCGGGACGTCCTCACAATGTATGCAGGAATCGCGCTCTCTTGTTGGATTTTCTCGTAATTGATTCAGACGCCGCGCCCTCGGCACTAAATAATCACGCTTTCGCTTTGGCCTTTCTCGTGATTTGATTGGGAATCGCGCTACCGCTCAAAATTCCCTCGCGATTCATGCAAGAATCACGGTTCAGCAACCCGGCTGCTCGACATGGCCGCCTGGGCCCGCCTTCCCGGCCCGCCCGCTAGGGTCGAACCCGCCCGATCTGCCCGTCTGGTTCTGCCACGTGTTTTCTGCTCCTCGCCCCCCTCCTGCTCTCTCGTGCTCCCTCCTTCTCCCTCCCCCTTCCATCCCTCTTTTCCCCTCCTTCGGGGGCTGCACCAATTGCACGCGGCAAGTATGGAAGATAAACCACCAGGGGGTACGATCGAGGAGGAAGAGGGCGGGTATCGAGGGTTAGGGGTATGCGTGTTGATTGGCACGCGACCAAGTAAGAGCGAACAATCTTAACACTATTGTTACTGTTGTTGCTGCTGCTGTTGTTGAATACTCATTGCTATCTGATGATGGTTCTTGATCTCCGGA